ACATCACCTCCAAGCGCCGTGGCTACACAGGATACAGACAATGGGGGGTTTCTGGTCAGCAGAGCCTCAAAGATCTTAACCTGAAATATTTTCCTTCGTGACAGAACCATTAACCAGGTTTTCCTGTCACCTCTGTCTATGCTTGAGAATTTAGTCTGAATCGAAGCCTAAAACTTTGTGTTCGTTAGAAGGTAGGAGAGTAAATAACTACTAAGAAACTGTAAGATTGACACAGTACAGCTACAGTTTAAATAATGCAGTCATAAAAAACTTTGGCTGAGCAAATACACGCCGAAGATCATCAAACATTATTATGTTAGGTTATTCTAACAGTCAGCATGCGTTATAATATGATACCAAAATGTTCAAATGGCTACCACCATTACCCTGAAAATAACTTTTGACCTTATATCTGTCTGGGGGTCTAAAAAGCTGATTTGGTGAGACCCAACCAAACACTAATACTGAAGACGAAGGCCTTGAAAAATGGGTCGCACAGCTTAATTTTGATATGAGTTTAGTAAGCTGTAGGTTTTAGGAAATGCTGTCCAGATAGCAGTAAAAATGTTTACTTTTAGTGGTTTAATAGCACGGATATGATGTCTTGGTGGGTATTTACACGAGTACAACAGTTTAAGTGTGATTGACCTGAAATGAATTTCACAATCTGTGGTCATGGTAATGAGGCAAAATAATGCCATGTTTCCCAGCAACAACATGGCTCCATTATTTTTTAATATTCAATATATAGACATAATATTTAATTTATTTTGGGGAACTGCAAAGCTCTGTGGCACAGACAAATTAAAAAATATCAGACTTTGACCGCCTCTCGTCCTGTGGTTTGTAAGGACGTCTTTCTCTTAATAAACTGCACGTGCCCAGTCTGACTTGTTTTCTGAGTTTCCCCTGAATCTGTGACATATTTTGTTTTTAATTTGGATCGGATTGCTCTAATTATTTTCAAGATTATGGGCCTGATCACATTCCTGAGTATGGTTTTGAACAAGAAAACTGATAATTAGCCAATCGGATTCAGGAGAACTTTAATCATCCCCAGGGGGAAACTGCAGTCGCTTAAGATTGTGAAGTTGTAAAATTTAGTAATAAGTTTTAATAATTGAAAATGAATGTAAAAAAAAAAATTACAATTTAATTCAGCAGCAAGAGGATGAAATGTGTGGATGGCCAAAGTGTTTAGTCATTATAACTCTGGGGGTGAACACACTTCTCTGGCTGGCCAGAACAGCGTGTGAAGTGTGGGAGAAGTTGTCCATGATGGAGAGGACTTCTGACATCTTTCTCTGTGCAGACTGGAGATTGTCCAGCTCCACCCCAGCGGCTGACCCAGCCTTCCTGAAATGTTTTGGTTTCGTCCGTCATCAGGCTTTTGTCCAAGCAGACTACAGTGTAGGAAACGGACACCACAAACTCACAGGAGATCTGCAGCATGGTGCCACTTAAAATGAAAGTGTGGAGCCTTCACAGAAAAACAATCTTAGCCTTAGTGTACTGAAAAAATGAGTAATACTGCTTGTATTTGTTATTTTATTTCCATTTGTCTGTTTTTGCTGTTTTAACTGGTTACTTTTCTCATTTTATTTCACTGTGCTCTGTAAATCTCTCTGTAAATGTGCATATATACAAAAACTATTACTCTTACTCATGATTATATTAATCCTGGATCTCCTCGCCTCCTTTATTTGCTGATGTGGAGTTGCACAGAACTGTGCACCATCCTTTGATATTTCCAAAAAGCATACCATATTTGTATATTAGCTGTGCACATGCATTTATTTTTATTGAAAAGCACTACATAAGGATTTTCATTATTACTGATCACCTTCTTTTAGCAAAGAAAACAACGGTAGAGTGAGCTGCAGTATATATCTGTGGGAATGCAATGGAAACCTGTGCAGCCCAGATAACCTGCCACTGAATCACACCGGAGCTCCTATTAACTCAGTGACATTTAATGATCCCATTCGGAACCAAAACTTCCTCCAGGCAGCCCATCTTTTTCCAACTCTTGGTATTTTTTTTAAAGTGTAGTGATGATCTGGTTTTTATAATTTAGCCCACATCTTCCTTCCCCTCAGTAAAATGGTGGATTATTGCCAGATTAAGGGAGTGCCTTTTTCTTTATCCCTGGGTAAGCCTGCACAGCACGCAGCTCAGAGGTAATGAAGCACTCTGTGATCCGTGCCCGGATGAATCTAAAAATTCCCAGAGCACCACTGTATTTTAAAGGAAATGAGATTTCCCTGAAAGCCTCCGAACCTATGCTTCCCATTTTGAAATGGCTATAAACCGCGGGCCTGCTTACAACCTGGTGCAAGAACCTCGACTTGTTGCTGTTTTTAAAATCATTTCAATAAGCACGAAGAGAAAGCTTGACATTGTAACAAATACTGCCGAGGAAGTGTTTGCTTTCTTTGCCTGAGAAAATGATAGCGATTACTAATTCCAATTGAGCCCGCTTATTTTTCAGTCTGACATTTAAATCTACGATTGCCGTGACCTTTACTGACCACCTGGCCAGTCGCTACTAAAAGATTTCTGACAGGCGGTTTATTAAAGCATCCTGGTGTTTTTACAGTCCAGCGGCTGATCCGTGAGGGTGACTGTCACAGGTACTGAGTCATTTATGTGAGTAGGAAACAAAACTCATGAGAGAAAAACAGAAATTAGAAAAAAAAACAAAAACTGGTTGAGCAATACAAAGCAAAAGTCATCAGCTGTCTGGGAGTTTGAACAGGAATAAAGTTTCTATGTTACCCAAGACTGTCATGCAGAACTGAAATGCTTGTCTGTTGCTGGTGGCTCTGAATGACAGTCCAAAGACATTTTAGTCAAATGTATCATCTATTAAAAAAAACTAAAGAACACTCTTGATCAGTTTTTATGCCTGGGCTATGAGGCATCTTTTGTCATTTTTGTAAATATTAATGATTATCTTTTTCTTTCCTCTGGAAACCATAAGGCTGCTGTCAGACACTGACTGATAGAGCATGCCGAGTGATCTGTTGCAGACACGGTCTCCCTGAGAAAGTCTACTCTGACCTGACTCGTCCATTGCTTCAATTTTATCAGCTTCAGTCAGTTGAGTGTTGATGTGAGCCTGAGGTGCGAAGGTGTTCGAACTCATCACGCTGGATGATTTGGCCCTCCCAGCTTTTTTGGCCTTACAGCCGTTGTGTTGTAAATGGTTCTTCTTTAAACTGCACCACTTTGCAAAGGTTCAGTTTTGTAGGATTTTAAACTGCCGGACTTTTACTGGTAAAAATATTCCATTCTACCTCAAACAATATGCATTCCTTAACCACTGAACAGATATATATAAATGTCAACTAATTTAACCCCCAAGGCATTATATTTATGCACTTTGTTAACAGAATAGCTGATAATAAATGTTTGCCATTCAAAATAACAATTACAGTTATTTTGGAATCACACAGATTACATATGTCTGTATAGATTTATGTGCCATGATGGTGAAATATTTCATTTGTTGCTTGTAATCTTTAACCCTCTTAAAGCAGTAGATAAAAAGTTTGCTTAACAATAAAAGAGAAAACAAAGCAGGAGCTGGGGAACATAAATGTTTGCACAAATGGATAACTTGGATAAGGATTTATGTACACATCATGTCCATTCTCTCAACTTCCTTCTGAGTTACGGGCAATTTTTATTTGTGACTTTAGGAAAGTAAGAGCTCTCAAGAAGCACTTAAAGGCAACGTAACAGCAAAAATGAAAATATAGTGACATAAAACCGAGGGTAAAGGATCGCCACTAGACAGTGATCATCATTAGGGCAAAACCATCTATCAAATTTATATCCAGAAAAGAGCCAAATTATGCTTTTACAATAGAGAGTTTTATCAAGCCAAACAATTATGAGGTGAGCTGCCCATTGCATCGCTTGTTATAGGTCAATGGAAAAAAAAGAGGAGGATAAAAACAATCCAGGGCTGGTAATGCACTACAAAACCATTTGGCTGAAAGTCATTCACTGCACTGATCATTTGGATGGATTTTTATAAAACAAGAAATTAGTTGGCCCACAGCTGCATGCGTAGCTTTGTTTCTCCAGTAGTTTCCTTCCTTCCTGTTGTCAGTATTTTAAAACGAGGGACCTAAGACTCAAGCGAATGAAAATTACTTCTATGAAATCAGTGAAATCAGATGCAGATCTTGGATATATTTAATCACACTGAATTGTGAGCTCATTCAGAGTTTTGTTGGCAGTGACTGACACTTCCATGTCTATTAACCCTTTTTTAACATAACATTTGAACCATGTTGTGGTTAAAGGTATTAGATTCTGATTTAGGTATACCCATTTTTCAGTCCATCATTTACTTTGGATGGTTATAAACTTTATTCTAGCCATTACACAGTTAAATCGCGAGTATTATAATTTTGCACTGACCTAAAAATCCCCCTAGTTTCTTGAATATTCCACTGTAAAATCTGTTAATGACAGCAATAGTGGTGTAGCGGTTTGAATTTAGGATTTAAAATAATAATAATTTAATGCGTAGTTCGTAAAATGATAGAAGTGGGAGGATAGGATAGGAAGCTGGAAGCACTAATATCACAGAATATCGATGTGAAACTACATCATTGCCAGGAACACAAATAATGAAATTATAATGTGTTTTGCTTTCTGATTGTAGGACATCAAGTCATGGAACACGATGTTACTTTTTAAGAAGATAGAAAGAGAGCCTTTTTTTAATTGAATAATTTCTCCATTTGTTTTTTGGGTACGCTAATTATGTGCCAGACAGCACAGCTACACAGCTTCATCGCTCCTTTGCACTAAGTCATACCTGTCCCTCTGCTACACCAATTTTTGAACCGATATGAATGGAGTGAAAATATTAGAGGGTTTTTTTTATGAGCCCCTCTTCTTGAGTTTCCCTCCTGTAACGCCGAACCCATAAGTCAGCTCCTGGCTCGAGTTAAAGAACAACCGCAGGCTATGTGTGCGTTCAGGAAGCTGGAGAGAGGGCAGTGTCGCTCACCTTTCACTGCCATACTGTAACACAGGCGTTTGACATGAGACAGCCCCCTAGGTGTCTCACTTTCTCAGTGTTTGTATGGACTGGAGCGCAGCGCCGGCTGCCCGCCTGCCTGCTTCTCGTCTGGCTGCGTTGACGTCAGCGCCGTGTTGATTTGCTAAGGCGAGAGAAGAAAGGAGTTAGAGCATGTTCTGAGAGCGGGTACTGCGAACTGCCTTACTATGCTGTAGCCCCAATCCCCCTGCACTATCCGGAATCAAAACGTGCAACTTAGGTGAGTACCAATCCGGGCTAAATGCAGCTGCAGTTTCCCGGCGACAAGTGCCAGACCCGCTACTCTGCATGTATCTAGTACTGTTTTCTTCGCGTACTTTCATTCACCATATGGATGTTTTGATGTGTTTATAGTGCTGAGGATCGGCTTTTTTATGCGTGTCCCCATTCAACCTCACGCTGAAGTTGACTGCAAACGCGACTTTGGCATGCGAGTTGGACTTGCGCACCGGAGTTCTGGATGAAAACAAGTGTTTACCTGATTGCGCTGCAAGGTGTTGAAGTTTGCATTAACGCACTGTAGCTCAGTGTAGAGATGTTAAGGTTGACGTAACCCCCCCTTCTTCTTCTCGGGCTCGTTAGTATTCTGGAGATCGCAGTCAGAGGACGTGAGGTCTGGCTGTTTCACGGGGAGCCAGACAACATATGACGCCTCGCTGCGTGTGACTTTGAAATCGCGTTAGCTTGTTTTGGTGGAAATTTTGCCCATATTTTTTTTTTTTAAGGACGGCGACACTCATGCTTGTCCTTGTGTCTCCAGACGCACCAGCGTGGCTTATTTAGCCGTGATGACATCATGATGGGGGACTAGAGACACTGGTTTTTACACACGAAACAACCGTAAATCCAGTCACTGTACAGGCGCACTGCCATTGATTGACAGCCAGCTAAATGTTTGATTGGTTACCAATAATCGGCTCGCCGTAGCACGCGCAGCACACTGTGAGGTGGGGGAACTGGTAACAGATGGCAAATTGATTTGTTATCGAGTGTGTCTGATCTCTCTCTTCCCCTTTCACTCTTTTTTTCCTCTTTATCCCTTAGGCAGCTTTCCCGAGACCAAACCCCCCTTCTTTCTCCTTCACTGTTACAAGGTAGCGCTACAGTGTTCATCATGCCTCAAAGTCCACCTGTGCGTTGATCAAATGAGAGCTGGCTCAAATCGGAGACCCTTGCCTGCCGTCTGTGTCGCGTGTACTTTTTTAGCAGGCACCGGTATCTGATTGCCCCCCCCTCCCCGTACCATTTTGATCTCTCCGCGTTTGTGTCTGTCAGTGTGGCTCATGGTCTGGAATATTGAACGCTGTTTATTCTTGTTGTGGCTGGCTCGTCAAGGCGCGCTATGGCAGACAACTCGTGATCAGATTGATTATGCTGCCTCTCTGTGAAGTCGGCGTGATGTGGTTATTGTCAGCGGTCCATATCGTCCTCCTGGGAGGAAATCTCTCCAGGCTTAATGTACTTAATGTAGTACGTGATGTTTTGCTTAACGCATAATGTTGTGTATAATTTGTCTGGTGCGTCTGGCTAAAATTAACGCCGTCTAGACCCACGCAGCCTTTTTCCTTTATTAATAGAAAACAGACAAAGTCCCCAGACAGCAACTTTACATCCCAGTGAAGCCACAGTTTAGTTGATAACCCACAGAGCGCAACAAGCATTGATCATTTACGGGGCCATAAATCGGCGCTATTGGCATACCTGCAATAAAGATAATGTCGGGTTTTAGGCATGATCTCTGTTTACTGAGAGGCTAATTTCAGTTAGAGGAGAACCTGTGGTTTTATCATTACCTACATTCTACATCGATTTTTGTCAAGGTACGGAAAAGACAAACCGCCCAGTGCCCCAAAAGCCGGGAGAATTATTTTCCGTTACTCTCAGCACTAACAATAGGTGCAGCATCATTTACCCCCTGAATATTCAGATTCAGTGTGTTTAGATGATCTTATTTATATATTATAGAAGGTTTGGCAAGAAAAAGAAACCTTATCATTTTTTCAAGGTTTATTTTTCCTTTCTTCCTTTCTTCTTTTCTTCTTTCTTCCTTTTCTTTTCTTTTTTTACAGGTGTGAAGGGAGGGAAAGAGCTGCCCAAGTTGTCTGTTTCATAATCTTTAAAAATTAATTTGAAGATTATTATTAATAAAAGCAATAATAATATTACAAATTTAGACAGCGTGTCACTTCTCACCAGACTTCATCTGACACACTTTGTCATTTGTCATAAGCCTGACTTATTCACTCTTCCGAAAACCTAAAAATTGGCCCTGAGTGAGCTTTTGTAGGTCAAAGGCGACACTAATCTGGTGACCATTCCTGCTTCACTTGGAGTAGGTGCAGTGGCAAATAACTGTTTAGTTAATTGGGACAATGAAGAAGCAGCATAGTTCAGTGTTAAACTGAATGTAGTGGTGAATCTGTGTATTCAATCTAAGCCAGCTTTAATTATTTTTTTGGTGCAGGTCAAAGTATAGGGTTGTGGGAGCGTGTTCCGTTGTTAACTTCAGTAATCAGGTTAACAGGAGTAGGAGGAGGACAAATTTGCGATTTTCAACATTAGCGACTGAGAGCTGTGTTTGGTACAGCAGTGTTGTGTGCTTTTGCCTCATCCTGCTTTCCTTTCCACCCATTTCTGGCCGCTGCTCTCTGCTCCCGTCTGTGATGAGAATACTGAGTAAGATGCTATTTAATTTCAGAAAGGCTGCTGATGGTCTTTGTGAACCGAGCGGCAGTGAAAACCCACAATTCACACTTGTTTAACTGGTGTACATACCGATTAGATAACTAAATGAAGACATCTTTGTAATGTAACATATGTTGGACTGATTGATATGCAGGTTGAGCATGTTGGCTCACAAATTGTTTCCCTTCAGAAATCTACAGTCAATACTCTCTGCTGAATTTAAGAACAATGCCACTGAGCGGAGTGTTTACCACACTGGCAGGATATTTGCAATTGCCTCACACTTGCCATTTAGAGAGAGAAAGAGGTGGTATGTTTTAAATAAGCGTAACAAATTCATCACATTTATTTGCAGCGTGATTGCAATAATGAAAGGCACTTGTATTTTATGATAAACTGGAATTTAAAAAAATTTTCAAAAGAGAAAGCCCTTTCATTCATTCAGATTCTGAAGGGAAGAAAAAAAAAAACGCAGACTGAGCATGTTGGATTTAAATGTGTAAAGACTAATATCTTTTTAACTCATGATACTTTGTACTCATGATACTCTACCAGAGCTGATTTTTTTTCTCCCCTCTTGTCTTCCATACAGGTTTCATCTTGTTTACAAAGATAGCTAAAAACATTGTTGATCGGGGAAGGAGAGCCTCATGAGTCGGCCTCGTGGTTTGCATCGACATCATGGATTTAACTAAAATGGGTATGATCCAGCTTCAGAACCCCAACCACCCCAATTCCCTGCTGCAGAAGGCCAACCAGATGCGTCTGGCTGGAACTCTGTGTGACGTGGTCATCATGGTAGACAGCCAGGAGTTTCACGCTCACAGGACTGTGCTAGCCTGCACCAGCAAAATGTTTGAAATCCTCTTTCACCGCAGCAGCCAGCATTATACCCTGGACTTTCTATCACCAAAGACTTTTCAGCAGATTTTGGAGTATGCTTACACTGCCACGCTCCAGGCCAAGGTGGAAGACTTGGATGACCTTCTGTATGCAGCCGAGATACTTGAGATTGAGTACTTAGAAGAGCAATGCCTGAAGATCCTGGAAACCATCCAGTCCTCAGATGAAAATGATGCTGAGGTCAACGCTAACGATGGAAGCACAGAGGAAGACGATGAGCGCAAAGGTCACAATGGAGCCAAAAACTCAAAAAAGCATTCCATGGGGAGCCCCTATCTGTCAGGTACACAGCAAGTCTCTAACATGCCCGGGGTCGTCGACCAGAGTCCCTCCGTCTCCACTTCCTTTGGTGTCTCCACCCTGAGTCCCACCAAAGCTGCTGTGGACAGTCTGATGAGCATCGGCCAGTCTCTGCTCCAGCAGGGCTTTGGTGGTGAACAACTAGTTCACGGCAACTCCAACCAACTGATGACTGAGATCAAGACTGAGATGATGCAAGTGGATATGGGTGGCAATGGCCATGAAAGCCCACAGAACATGGAGTCCAGTGCCTCCAGCAATGGAGAACGAAGTGGGGAGGACAGGAACAGAGATGGTCCCGGAACGCCAACCAGGAGCAGCGTGATCACCAGTGCCCGTGAGCTGCATTACGTCCGTGACGAAGGCATGGGCGACTCTCAAGCTGAAGTCAGTCAGATGGGGATGGAAGCAATGGCTGGAATGACTGAGAAACATCTGGCCTCTCTCTACTCCTTACCTGTCAATCATAAATCAGATGCCATGATGTCCATGCCAGTATCCATGGCGTCCGCTCTGCCCATGTCCCCAGCCCTGGCTATGTCTATGGACTTCAGTGCCTATGGGGGACTCCTGCCTCAGAGTTTCATCCAGAGAGAATTCTTCAGCAAGCTTGGGGAGCTGGCAGTGGGCATGAAACCAGACGGCAGGAACCAGCATGAACGTTGCAATGTTTGCGGTGCAGAGCTACCAGATAATGAAGCTGTGGAGCAGCACAGGTAAGACAACTTTTCTTCTGAAGATAGTTGCTTAAAAAATTTTTTTTTAAATTGTTTTGTTCTTGAAATTTGTGTCCCTTTTTTAGCATTTCAACTACCCTTAATTTGACTGAAATTTTGAATGTTTATTTATGAATTCTTGATGTGCATCAGAATGTGAAATTAAGTCACTTGGCTTCATTTTACTAATTCATGATCCACATAGTAACTTAATTCCTATTGTTAATAATTTAAAGTGGACAGCTTTTTGCTTTGAAATTATGAGAAATAGCAAATAGTAACATCCTTTTATAATCACAGAAACCTTAGTTTTGTGTGGCTGACAGCTCAAACTTGGAGATTTGCTCCTTCAGTAACTACCAGGCCTGTCCAGGTGACCGCTGAAGGAGTGCTGTCTTAACATTGTCCAAGACCATTAGTCACACCTTACAAGATGTGGGCGGCAGCTATCACACACACTTACCAAAGTGGAACCCCCTCATCCTGGAACCAATTCCCCTCCCCTTTCCCATAACTGCACAAGGGGGGCCTTTATTAGCTTGATAATTGGAGTAGATGGTCAGTCCAGGAAATGAGTGCTGAACCTGGGCTTTGAGACAAGGAGGTAGCTCTTGGACAGGAGAGTGACAGTAAACCAGAAAAACCCCCAGAGTTTTTGCCCCGAAACCTCACTTGAATTACTGAAAGTTTTTCAAATCTCTCTATCCCTTTTTTCTGACATAATACCCTGCTCAATTTGATATATTTCACTGGATTTCTGTCATATTTGGATTGACCCTGGTTGAGCAAGCAAACTGAATATTAATCTTGCATGACCTCTCTTTCGTGCTGTCGTAATGTTTAAGAAATTTTACTTTGAAGGCCACCTTCTCACCCTGCAGTGTTTGCTTGAATCAATGCAAAGGAATGCACAGTGGTTAAAGTTCACCGGAGGATTTGAACCTTATCACCCGTCCCATCATTCTTGAGCTGGTATCTTGGCATACATGGCTAAGCACTGAAGTGATTCAGTCCAGACTTTCAAGTTAAAGAAATATTACCGAATAGGTTTGACTCGATTAAAGACATACAGGAAGTCACAGTGTATATATTTGTGTGACCTTCATGATCAGAGCTAATTTTTCATTAAGTTAAAGAGGATTTTTGCATTGACTCATATTACACGTCTAAAAATCATAAGGAGAGAAAAAGAAGTGGCTTTTGCGCATATGATTAGTTCATCCTAAGCAGGCTTTTACAGCCACTTTTTAAAAAGAAAAGAAGCACAATAGCCTCTTCTTTAGATGCATTAATGTAGCCGAACTGCGTTAACGGACAGGCTACGCTCGTCTCTGTCTTGAGAAAAAGTGTGGCGTGTGAAATGGTTGCCTGTGTTTCAAGAGGAATTTCATCAATTCACTCAAGCTGGGAAATCTTGTATCAAAGGAGATTTCCAAACCGTTTCATGCATTGATCTCACCGCCTCACCCCATAGCATACTAATGGGTTAATTTACACTGGTTGATACACCGACACGACACTGTTTAATATTGTATGTGCTGTCCTGACAGCCTCCTGAAGTGTAGAAATCAAACATTGCATCATCCGCTGTCTGCTCTGCCATTTTGACATGAAAGGTCCGCTTCGCCTGAGATGCTTGATAATTCAGACGCTTCTCGTGTCCTCACAAACTCCACTGTTGGTCATTTGGTATCATATCCAGTCCCTGCTTCTTCTTTTTTTTCTTTATTTATTGCTTATTTTTTATGGCTATCCTGTCACACTTCTTAATCGTCCTGATGGGTATGCAAGATGTTTTATTTCAGACAAGTGGAGTCGTGTTCCCTCTGACTAATTACGCATCATTCCCCCGGAGCAACTGTGTCAGGGTCAGCACTGCCTCTGCAACAAACGCATAAAAAAGTTGGCAAAGTTCACTTAGGTGCGGGCAGGTCAAGTCAAACATGAGTCTAATTGTTTCCAGATGTGGCACAGGTCAGTGGTGTGAGGTGTCAATGTGGGCTTCTATGTTTAAATGAATGCACCGAAAAGTGCCCACTTCCTGTATAAATCTAGTTTCTGCAACCTTTCATAAAAACACTGAATTCATTATGTATTGGCAAAACAAGTGTAAGGAGTTGCTTATTGACTGTGTTTGCTTCTTTTTAAGCAGCAGAGATGCTACCTTGATATTAGGTTAATGAAAGCCTTATAATGTACATCAGTTTAGAATAAATTATTATAATTGAAGGGAAAAAGCTTATATTGAATGTTATGTCAGAAGTAGATTTTTGCCTGCTTTTTCTGATCTGATAGCTGATCAATTAACTTAACTTTAGACTAATTCCTTTAATGATTGACTATCTTAAGATAACTATAGATATTTGAGGATTTTGCCTTCTTTGAACTACTTTATAAGTAGTTGTGTTATCTGTATTTTACCTTGGGTATTGTAAAAGCACTGATGTTGAAAGTTTAACTTATTGTGCAAACAAAAATGAGCTTAATGAAAGGTTTACTCTGACTTATAAGTGCCTGAGTTTCCTTGTATTTAATCTAAGTCTATCTGACCATGGCAACTTTTCCCCTCCACCTTCCCTCCATCAGGCCACCAGCTCACGTCCCCACTGACAAGCCCTAGATTTATTTAGCCCACGGTGTGCATTGTTGGGGCTTTAGGCAGACAGGATTACAGCAATATTTTAGCAACCCTTGCACTGAGAAAATAATCAACACAGGAAGGGCCTGAGTGATTATTTAGAAAATAAATGCATGATGCAGGGGGCTAATTCTGCAGAGGCAGTGGGGGTAGTTGGGGGGGGGGGCTCCTCTGCTTGGTATTCCAAACACAGCATCCAATTCACGGGAACTAGCCTTGGGTTTATCTCTTTCACTTAATCGTCCATTCTCATGCAAATGATTGACCCTCGCTGTAATGTACATCACATAAGTGAAAAAAAAGAGCCTGTTTGAAAGGAGCTTTTCCAGCATATAGCCGTTAAACATTACTGATAAGTATCAATGCTATAGCAGTGTCTTTTCATAGTACAGCCTGGGTTTATTTTTGGAGGGGCACAGGGGCGATGAATGAACGGGATAAGTCAATGAATTCCTTTTTGTCTGCTCTGTTTTCGCTCCTGTTATTTTTATTATTGATGGCAGTGTTTGGGGCAGAGGCTGGCAGCGGTGGAAATAATCACCCTCGCATTAACCTCCGCACGCGCACACACTTGTGTTCATTACTTTTCACATACACTCCCCTCAGCAGTAGCAGGCAGCGCTCACTCTTCCATTTCCTCCTCTTTTGTGGCAAAGGGGATGGAGGGCGCTCTAATACCCCAGGCCGCAGGTGTTTAAACAGCAGGCCCAAGGCCCTTATCTGTGCATATCAGAGTGGGACAGATAACCCTTGGCGCTCCTTCTTAGTAAACCAAGAGCAGATTGAGTTCAGATAGCGGTCCAATGCATTTGTTGCAGGTGATAACAATGTATGCACATACACACACGTATGTAACCTGCACACTAAGGGGAAGCTGTTGGAAGGTATAGATGTTGTTTCCTTACACAATGACATTCGGTTGCTTTGGTCACTAGCAACAATTAACCACCACTAGGGCTGGGCCATATTATACCGTTCACGGTAATACCGGTATAATGTTAGGCAACGATAGGAAAATGAAATATCGCGATAGAATGGGAGTAAAACGCGCATGCGCAGTGCCTTTGTTTTCATACGCACATGGCCGATTGTTGAGTGAAACAAATGAACCAGAATTGGTTTGTAAAAATGGTGCAACTTCAGTGATGTGGAACTGGTTTGGCGTTTGTCCGTCAGATACACGACAAAGCACATTTTTTTGCAGAACATGCAAGCGGCCGTCGTTATTGTCGTATTTGTCGGACTAAGATGCTCTTAAATCTGGGAGTAATCTGGGTCCTAAACTCCGTAAACCTTCAGGTCAAACAACACTGCAGCATCACTGAGAGTTTAAAAACTGTCTAAATTCTTTCATCTTTAATAAAACGATCAGCATTGCTGCTTTACCAGGTGTAACTATGAAGTTTAACTTCCAGGCATCCATGAAAACAAAATTTATTACATTTAACGGAGTTAGAAGTTAGCAGGAAGCTAGCGGAAGTTAGCTCGCTAGTTTCGCTAGTTACCCAAGCATGATATAGCATGTTCTGACTGAGAGATTTCTGAATAAATTCAAACGTACACCTCTGCTATCACTTCCAACATAAATGAAGACGGGAAACTAAACAGCAGTGACGTTTGTAGGGTTACTGAAGTTGGGCTAGCTGGTATATAATGATGTGCTACGTAGGGTTGCCAACTCCCTGAAAAATAAATAAGGGACACCTCGTGGCCAGGGCCGGGCGACCCAGTTGTCTTCACCCTTCCCAGTGTGGTGAATTTTTTAGCTCTTTTTTTGTGTGTGAAATTATTTTTTTTAACCCTTTGACTTGAATTTGATTTAAGTAGATGTGTATTCTTTGTGATATGAACACATGTGAAACAAATGATCATTTAGCCATTTATTTTTAGCTCAAAATGACAACATTAACACAGTAAAACAGGTCTCTTTCTTAAACAGAAGCCTGTCATGCTTAACTTTTGAGAATATAAGTAAATCTTTCTTTAAAAGAACTCTGTCCTGCTTAACTTAAAATAATAGAAAACAATAGAAAGAAAAATATTCTTGTAACAGTGCACATTTAGTGCATTTAGTACAATTGGCTTCAGCTGAGGTATTATTTCAGCTTTTCTAATGCTAATCAGCTGCTCCCGTTTGAAAACCCGCTTGTTCCCATGATTACGCATCTTAACTCATCATCATTATTCATCTATGTATTACTTTTATGTATTAGTCATCTATTTGTTGTAATCATCTATCCTTGCAGTCGTTTATTACACAAAATAAATTATATTATCACACTTCTGGCCACATAGCGCTGATATTCACTGCACATGCCCATATTAACGTTTTCCAGCCAGGTGTTTTCCTTTTCCCATTCTT